TCTTTTAGATTATATACATATATATGACAATTATGTAGAACATGAAAAATTAATCAAATTTACTTCTCAAATATTATATATTAATTTTCTTTTATTTTTGGTTAATTAATATAAACTATTTTTAGATAATGATAATCATCCAATCAATGGTTCTTTTAATTAAGCTTAATTATATAGTAATTCGGTTTTAATTTATAGTTAATTATATATATTAATAGATCTAATTATTTCATTGAATAATAATAATTAATCATTAGTAAAAATCCTAAAATCATGACAAATAAACAAAATTATCTAAAATTATGTAGAACATGACAACTAAGCAAATTTATTTCTCAAATAATAATAGACATCTTAAAACCATCCAAAGGACATAAGTACAAAATTAGTTATGGTTTATATGAGTTTACGAAAGGACATATTTTATTCCATGGATCACCAAATGCAATAAGGAACAGAGAGGTTCAAGTTCACATTCATATGTATAGTTTGTTTAGTACAACAGTTGAATTTGGCACGGATCATGAAGTGTAATTAAAAGGTTTTATTGTTTTATATCTTTTATTTTGTAAAATATATTCTGGTTAAGTATTATATCCAACACAATCATCTTTCTGAAGATATATGTAAATGAGTTTCTGAATATATACGTAAATTAGTTTTTTTCTTTCTTTGTTTTTTCTCTTCTGAAACACTGTTTCTTTCTTTGTTAATAACTTCAATTAGGAATGTATGTTCAAATTTACTCCACAGAGAAGAGTTACACACAAGATTTAGATATATGTAAATATATTATTTCTTTGTTAGAAACTAATTAGTAACGTACGTACAACGTACCCATTCACGCAAGTATTTAAAGGGAGATGATTATTTGTTCTAACCCCAAAAGAAAAACATCTACACAAAAGAAAAGAGATAAAAAGAAAACAATGTCAACACAGAAGATTCAACTTGCTTCTTTGCTCTTAGCTTTATTTCTTCTGTTTTCACAGTCAACTGGTAATATATATATTGTCTACCTCTAGTTATGTATAATTTAATGATATATAATAAAGTTAGCTGATTGGGATGATTTATTTTTGAATAAAATTTCAGCTAAATGTCGCTAAAGATTCCCACCCACAGGCCTATGTAAGAAAAGTGAAGACTGCAAGATTATATTAATGTTGACACATGTGTGTGGACCATCCATCAAGTAGTAATAAGTAAATCCTGCACAAAGAAGCAAGATTCTACAAGGAATTTCCAGTTCACAACAAAAATGCAAAGAGATCTACCTAGCAGTCCATGAAGGATATGACAAAGACGGGTAGAAAGAAGAGGAGGAGAGTTCATCAAAGGGACACATCAGGGCTCCTAGTTGGACCCATCAGTACTTAAGAATGAACAAGTTTCAAAAAGTAGTCAATACCAATTCCAACTATCCACATATTGATCAAACCAAAGTGTCCACAACATAGACACAAAGAGAGTCTTTTTACTTGAATACTTACATCAACTGAAATGTTTCCGCTATTCCAATCCACCATCAATCTTGGAGCGACTGCCTTGTCCACCAGATATTAATGTTTTAAGACCTCCAATCCAAACTTCAGCCTCTGTTTCCGCTATTCCAATCCACCATCAATCTTGGAGCGACTGCCTTGTCCACCAGATATTAATGTTTTAAGACCTCCAATCCAAACTTCAGCCTC